CGACCAGGATGGTCAGCACGGGGCTGATGCACGTCTCGCACGCGCCGAGCAGGAAGCGGCAGCCCGCGAGCGCGGCGAACGAGCGCGCGCCCGCCTGCGCCGTCGTGGCGACGCCCCAGCCCACAATCATGACGCCAAAGTACCGCCCGATGGGCAGCTTCTGCATCAGCACCGCGCACGGGTACTGCGCCGCCAGGTAGCCAAAGTAGAAGATGGCGCTGGCCCAGCTGTAGTCGGTGCCGCGCAGGTGCTGTGTCTGTGAGTTTGGCGGGCGAGGAAGGCATGGAAAGGGGGCAACTGACGTCGTCTTCTAGTATTCCAAAGATGGAGGCTTGGCTGAGCGCTACCTTGTCCATAAAGGACAGCAGATAGGTCATGGTCATCTAGCAAAAGTGAGTTGTGTTTGTTGGGGTGGCGGGGGGGAGGGGGGGTTACCATGGGCAGCAGGATGAGGTCCAGCTTCCACCGGACACGGTTGGCCTCTTGGGCAGAGTACTCGGTGATGCCGCCAAGCTGTCCAATGAAGCGGCTGGCGTCATCTTGATTCTTGTCCGAGTAGTCAAAGCCTTTTGCAAGGCCTTCTTCGTGGTGCTCAGTATTTTCGACCTTGTTCGCCATGTTGAGGCTTGTAGCAATAGAGAAGCGGAAAAAGCAACAACTGTTATGGTCCAATTTCTCCAGCTTGTCTCGAGACTTTATACTTTTCTATCCCTCGATATATACAATCATACTGACGCTGTACCCCAGATCTCTCCGCAGTTCGGGCTTGGGGTACAGCGTGGGGGTGGAACCCCATTCATCGCCAAAGTTGCCTATTCGGGCTTTATTGACGACAAGTCAGCGGCGGATATCCACCCCTTCTCCATCTCCATCACTTTATGGCTTGATTCAGTCTTGTTGCCGGTGCCTCGTTTAGAGATCCCACTTCTGTAATGGGTTTGTGGCATGTTCATAGCCGGAGCTGTCTTCCAAGTGGCTGGTCGGGTCGGCCATTGGCGGGGGTATGACTGGAAATTTCACCAACCGGCCCTCGTCGCCAATGCTTCCGTAAGGGATGCAGTAGTTAGTCCCAAGGCTGTCGAGACAATGCTATTTGAAGCGGCTCTCGGACGCTCCTCTTGATAGGTCCGTACAAGCTTCCTACCATTTGGTCAAGTTACTCAAAGTTACCGCCGTCGGACAGCTCATGCAGATTTGTCCTCAGTATGACGGCTGCAAAGAACCCAAGTCCTTACTATCAACATGTCATTGCAAGTGGACTGCCCTACGAGCGTGGCCTAGCCCACGGGCAACAGGCCGGGCAAAAGGTCCGCGACAATGTCGCCTACTACAAGACCCCGGGCAAGCTGGCCAAGTTGTGAGTCGTCCTACAAAAAGATGCATGGCGAAACAACCTACTGACTGCGATGCAAGAGAGACTATGGAGAAAATCATCGAGGACATCTACATTCCAAACATCAAGGCCCATTATTCGGCTGGACTCGAGGAGATGCGAGGCATTGCAGACGGAGCCCACGTTTCTCTGCAAGACGTTGTGCTGCTGAACGCGCGCTATGACCTTGCTCGACTGAATCAAGAGGAAGCGTCGAATCCTGTTGTTAAGAGTACCAATGGGCACCACGCTCGCCTAGAAACAGACGACATGACCAACGAGTGCACAAGTGCCATCTTCTTCCCAGAGGCCACCGCCAGCGGCGACGTGCTCAATGCCCAAAACTGGGACATGTCGGCCCGTCTCTGGCTCAGCGACGCCATCATCTACCTCGAGATCCACCCGGATCCCTCCGAAGCCAAACCTTCCCTCTTCCTCGTCACAGAGGCCGGCCAGCTGGGCCGCTCCGGTATCAGCTTGCTCGGCCTGGGCGTCACGGCCAACTCGCTCATGTCCGCCGAGGACTACTGCCCGAGCGCCGCGGACCCCATCCCCGTCCTGCCCATCTCCCTGCTGCGCCGCATGGTGCTCGAGTCGGCGCATTTGGCAGAGGCCACGACGGCCATTTACAACTTTCCGCGGCACGTGTCCAACAACCTCACCGTCGCGACGGCCGATGGGTTCGGCATGTGCTTTGAGATTACGCCGACCAGAGAGTACAAGGTGTACAGCAGCCTCGATGACCATTATCTTATCCACTCCAACCACTTCACCGACCCGGCGTTTCTGGCGCGCTCCGACACGAAATGCCGTTACCCGGGCGGCAGTAGCTGGTTTCGCCGACAGCGCCTGGAGCAGAATATCCGGCCGTACAAGAACGGGCTGGTCACGGTGGAACAGTTGCAACGGGCGTTTTCCGACCATCTCAGCTTCCCTGAATCGCTCTGCTGCCACCCGGATCGATCGCCCGACGCCGTCATCGGTCATCTTCCGGGCTATCCCTTCCGCACCTCCTCGGCGACGGTCGCCTCGGTCACGTACAACCTGACCCAACGAAGCATCACGGTCTGCAAGGGCCCTCCCTGCCAGGGCAGCTTTCAGACGTTTCATCTGAGCGGCCCGTTGTCGTTCCAAGGGCTCGGAACAAAATCTGGAAAGCTTGCTGCTGCCCAAGATATCAACCGCCCTGAGACCCCATAGAAAAGGCACTGCAGCGCAAGAGAGGAGATGGACAGGATTGAGTAGAAATAGAATCTCCGACAACTAGACTTCGAAACTTTTATAAATCCATCATATCTCATGTTAGCGATGCTCGGAAGCCAGTCTTTTCCTGCTGTGAAATGATGCGCTGCAATGCGTCGGCAGCTACTTGCATGTGTGCGCCCCACGAACCAAGCTCCTTGATGTAGTCGAGAATCCAGTCCTGATAGATGCCATCAGTCGTCTCAATACCGGCAATGTATAGCGGAAGCGGCCAGATCGTCGAGCGTGGGGAGCGTAGATATTTGGTCTGACGGAGAAGTCTCGCGATCCGCACAATATCGGCGACAGCTTCCTGGCTCTCGGCGTCTGTACGAGAGCCCGTATCGGTCACGCGTTCGAACATGATGACGGTGCACGATCGGAGAGCACGGACGGTAAGGGTGTGGAATGTGATGCTGTCCACGGTGTGGCAGCTGGAAGGAGGCAGGACCTTGCTGGACGGCATGGCCAGTTCACACTCCTGGATGCGGTCAGCATGATTTCAAAGAAACTTCCAAACGATTAGAGTCATACCGCCTGCAGCCGTCGCAGATTCGCATGCAACGCTTCCACCTTTGCCTCTCGCAGCTCCTTTAGCAGCGCAGAATCTGGGTTCGGATGTTGCCCTTGCATCATGTTCCAGGCGGCAAACCTCCTCATTTTGGCAAGATGGCACATGAACTCGTCGAACTGAACACGGCACCGGTCCTTGCGCAAGTCTTCCTCATCTTCTTCCTGCGGCAAGTTGTGGGGAAACATTTCGCTCAGCACCGACTTTTGCGTGCGCGCCCGACGCAACATCGGGAGTGCCTTGGCCTCGTCCAGTAGAGTCATAAAATCCTTGGGGTCTTCTGCACGCGCATACGCCTCGCCGCCGAGGAAGAAGAAGCGCAGCTCGAGGAAAGCGAGCCAAATGACAATGCGGGACTCTACCGGCCCAGGAAGCGTGCCATCAGCCCAATGGTGCTGAAAGACCGACTTTGCTTCGCCAATGCGAGTGAGAAAGGAAGTAAAGTTTTCTGTCATGAGGTCATGCTGGCAAACGAAGAAGGTGGTAGAGAGGTAGGACGACAGCTGCTCCGACGTGCTTGCCCGTCTCCATATCGCTTGGGGGAGTGGTGCCATGAGTTCCGCCACCAACACTCGAAGGCCCTCCGAAGCAGCGGAGTAGTGCTCATCGCGAGACGACGTCGACCCGGCACTCAGCTGGGTGAGGTAAGCGTAGACCCAGCCGAGGATGGCATGACAGAGCGGCGAGTTGGGGATGGCCTGGGCGGAATGGACCAGGTAGTGGAAGCAAGTGTAGATGGATTGCTTCGTAGACAGAAACTCGGGCACACGGGATAATGCTTGGCTAGTCGTCGGATCCAAAGGCGCGGCGACACAGGAAGCAGTTGCTGGTGCGCTGATGGTAGCGCTGTGAACCACTGTACCATGACAGGGATTTCCATTTTCTAGATCGTGTGAGCCTACGATAAGAGGTCGCGGCACATTCCAGTCGGCGCTGAAATAGGCATCGAGGTTTCCAGGCGTGCTGAAATCAACCGGAGCCATCTCGTCGGCCAGGTCCGAGAAGATGAAATCTAACAGACCCAAAGGACCATCTGGAGACGCATTCTCTGGCATCGCATCGCGGTTCGATGCACCCCCTTGCGCAGATTCGTTGGCAAGCTCCTGCGCCACTGTCGATGGTTCGTGTCGAGGAGGGATCGCGGCCGAGTATAGCCTCGTGCGACGGCTCTGGCCATTGCCAGCCTCGTCGACCTGACCGCTCAGCCCTGCTTCTTCGTAGCCAGCCCGACCATCGACTCTGGCATGTCTGGACGACCACGTCTTGAAATTCTGATGAAACGACGAATCGCACGACAGTTTGAGGCGGCGACAGGGCTCGCACGGCGTGACCTGCGAGGTGCACTTGACCTTGCGGCGTCGACAGGTGAGACAGCCCGCCACGGAACGGCTGGATCGCGGGGGACGGGAAGGGGTCGTGTTGGACGACGATTTGGGCATTATTGATCTTGGCAAGACTGGTTCGAGATGATGAAATGAAAAGTCCAACCGTTGATGCTATGAGAGCAACGTTTAGTTCATACAAATACGGTGCGAATGGTCTGTTTGCAGGCAGAGCCGGGGTGATGGCTAGCGTACCCAGGGTAAGTGGGATGGAGAGGGACGCCGATTTGCGGGTAAACGCCTGGTCTGTATCCGTAATTGAAAATATTTAATGATGGCTTGTCCGTTTCGGTAGCAATTGCAATTGTAGTTGCCTATTATCCTGGAACAAAGTTCCGCCTTTCCTTGCTCTCTGGCTGTGGTTGTCGGTTCCGCGCGACTGGCCTCGTCCGAGACCTCCTGGAAGCGCTATTCTCAGAACCTGTCTAACTATCATCAGCTCCTCAATCAGATAAAGTCAAACATCCCAAATTTGCTACCAGTAGGAGTCAGATCATGCCGGCAACGCTGCGAGTGTCAATACCAGGCAGTGTAGAGGTGTTCGGGAAGCGAGTGTTTCAAGGTGTGCTCGCGTCGTGTTCTGAAAAGCAAATAGACCGCAATAAAAGCATTCCAGCATGGTTCGAAAAATGTTCAGTTTCCGCTACTACAAGTTGATATTCCTGACAATCTTTTTTCCCCTCCGTCACTCTTGCCTTGCACCTGCACGTGTCATTCTTCCCAATATTGCTGAGGTGGAGAGACGCAACCGACATCGTCACATATCATAGTATTTTCGCCGGCGTGGATAACATCACTTTATTCTACTGGGACTATAGATAATTAGGCAACAATCCTCGTGGCCGAAAGAAGTCCTGGAAGCCGGGTCATTGTGGTCATTAGCCAGGCTCGAAGCTACCCTACGGCGATCACAGAGAAACGTACATTCGGAGCTGCTTTTCTTTTGCAGTGCTCACTTCGATATTCCACTTATACTAGTCTGCTTCTCTTTGAAGGTTATGCGACGCATTCTCACCAAACATTCGTCCAGGGTTATCGTCGTTTCCTGATATGTGATGTCGCCTTCAATCTCTAGGAGACGCTCTTGGCCTCAAGGGATCACAAGAATCGTCAAGTGCACAGCCCCCGAACAAGACCTGACCACGAAGATGTTATGAGATATTTAAACCCAAAATCTCTCATACGAAACGGCTTGTTTACAGACATGTTGCCAAGGTCATTGCGCCTCACTCCAAACATGGCTACACGCTGTCTTCATGAGGTAGTGACAGCCTCGTGAGTATCGCGGTTCAATGACAGAGCAAGCAATTCGTATGCCGTGGGAAGTAGTACAGAGAAGAAGTGACGATGCGAGCTTGTAGTCATGCCTACTCTTGCGGTCTGCTCCGTACCATACTTGTTTGTAGCTGGCTTCTTGGCACAGTCCAGGCCCGTCGGCTACGCACCCCGGCAGTCTGCTCAGGACTCGCAACATCCCGTGGCGCACTGGTGGCGCGCTGGGCAATTATTGTTGAGCGAATTCCTGCAACTGGGAAGATGGGCACATACTTTTCATTCTTGCGTGTTCGTCGCATGCAAGAGAGACTGAGAATGGCGGTCCTCAGTACTCTGCGTTTCACGTGCGGCTTCACGCCAGACAAAATCAAGTGTTTGGTCCTCTTTATGCAATTATGGAAATAATGAGCTTTTGCCCACAGCTCAGCGCGCAAGAAAAGCTGCGGTTCAATTCAGCAAAGCGTCTGTACCTCGTGTTTTCGGAGGAAAACCTGCCCCGCAAACACATCGCTAGCGAAAGTAGTAACTATCTAGAGAATTACTAGCGAATTAAGCTCATCAATTTAGTCAGTGATTTGGCGGGGGTGGCAGTGCAGCCAAAATGGCCGATCGACAACCTACCCCACGGGGGAGGAGCTGGCGGCCTCTCTGCTGTTCACAATACCAATTCTCCCGCAGATGGGCCGTCATACATATGGCCGTCTAAGTGCAATGATATTCCTCTAAGCGACCCTTTGACAACCCTTTCTCTCACTAACCAAGTGGCTGCTGTTGACGCTAATCGGGGCAGTGCTGCCTTGTCCTGTGGGCCGTGGCGTGTGATCTGTTGCTTGTCTGGTCTGCCCAGGCTCGCTGGCTGCCATGTCCTTCCCAATGCAGCAACTTGAAAAGCAACTCTTAGAAAAAAAGATTGACAGCGCCAACGGGCTCTATCGTGGTAAGCTTCAATCAGCTTCGGCCACCATCCGCCGCGGTTCTTGAGCATGCCGCGCAACGCTGCCAAGTCCAGGGTTGATATAAGAAGAGCCCGAGTTTCCCAACATCTTCTTCTTCCCACGGCCACAGGCGCACGCAAATTGCTTTGCCTTATTCTCTCAGAGCCACGTCTTTATTTGATTCACCACTTTCAGGATGGGTCTCCATGCTGATGGGACCAACGATCCCGACGAGGTCCGCAACTGGCGGATTCACCTCATTGCCACTGTTGCCTCCATGTCTGCCATTGCCAGTACGCTAACTTGGGCCCACCGCTGTTAAAACAAACCAGTTTCGTGTACTGACAGACATGTAAAGTGGGATACGACACCTCTGTCATTGGAGGCACAATGGCCTTGGACTCGTTCAGACGCGACTTTGGCCTTCTCGACAAGACGGGCCATGACCGAGACACTCTGCAGGGAAACATCGTGTCCACCTTTCAAGCTGGCTGCTTCTTTGGCTCTTTGCTTACATTTCCTCTCGCTGAAAAGTATGGCCGCAAAAGGGCCGTCTTTCTCGCGGCCGCTGTATTCGTCATCGGAGGTTCCCTGATGACCGCTTCTCATGGTATGCTCACTGTGTTGATCACTGGTCGTGCTATTGCTGGCTTGGGTATCGGTGCTGCTTCGCTCATCGTGCCCGTATATATTGCCGAAGTTTCGCCCCCGTCTATTCGCGGACGGCTTATTGGTATATTCGAGATTGCCTCCCAGGGCGGTGGTATGCTGGGCTTCTGGGTAAGTCGCCCGCGTGCAGCTGAGAATGCTTGCTTTCCGCGTACCTGACAAGCCTCCAGATCAACTACGCGTCCAACCGGACAATCTCCCACACAAATGACGCGCAATGGATCCTGCCTCTTGGATTGCAGCTCGTGCCCGGCGCCTTGCTCTGCATTGGTATGCTGTTCTGCCCAGAGTCTCCGCGGTGGCTCGCGCGCAAAGATCGCTGGGAGCAAGCCGAGAAGGTCCTTGTCCATATTCGTGGTCTCGGGGCAGACTCTGGGTATATTCGCGACGAGCTGTCTGAAATCCGCCAGCAGATTGAGGAGCGCACCGCCAACCGCATGACCTTTCGAGAAAGTCTCAAGCGCCTGCTGGAGCGTGGAGTACGTAACCGAATTGGCATCGGTTTACTCTTGATGGCCTGCCAGAATATGACTGGTGTCAACATTATTACATACTGTTAGTTACCTGACCATGGGGCACGGGGCATGCTGTATTCTTTGCTAACCTCTCTCGTACAGACTCTCCTCGCATCTTTGAAACTCTTGGTATTCAGGGCACCGAGACCAAACTGTTTGCCACTGGGTTCTATGGCATCGCCAAGACCCTCGGAATGATCATCTTTTCGGTCTGGCTTGTGGAAAAAGTTGGACGTAGGAACGGTCTCATCTGGGGCGCATTTATAGGATCACTTCCCATGTGGTATATCGGCGGATATGTCATGAAGGCTGATCCTGCTGGCAATGCGGCTTCTGGCAACGTTGACCGCAATGGCTGGGGATATTTAGCTATGGGTAAGATCATTCCGCCTATGATAATGTCGTGTCCGATAAAACTGACTTTTCTAGTTTGTGTCTATCTTTACGGATTGATCTATTGCGCGACCTGGCAAGGCATCACCTGGGTGTACTGTTCCGAGATCTTCCCAATTGGTCAGCATTTCTTCCATCGGGACTCGAAGCAAATTCTAACCAATTGAAAACAGATATTCGTATGCTCTGCACAGCCATCACGACAGCGGATCAATGGTTCTGGAGCTTCCTCGTCTCTCGCACAACTCCATACATGATCACTTCGCTGGGATACGGTACTTACTTGCTATTCGGAGCTCTCATGGTCGTTATGGGCTTCTGGGCTCTATTCTTCATCCCGGAGACCAAGGGTCGCACTTTGGAGGACATGGACAGACTCTTCAGCACTAGTACTGCTTCTACAGTCTGGCAGTCATTGGTGCAGCGACGTAGTGTGGAAGACGTCTTGGCGGAGAGAACGCAAAGCAGGCCCATTTATGTTGACAAAAAGGAAGATGTTGAGAGACGAATTGAGGAGTAACGGCCCCGCAGAGTTGGCATAAGGGTGGATGTTCAGTGGCCAGGGAATATATGCAGGGATAGTATTGAGTTGTCCCTGGTGGAAGGTTGTGAAATAATGAATCAAGTCTGTGTTCTCAGAACTGGCTGTAGGTACCCTCCAAGTGCCTGGCTATTCACTTCACATTGGTTCTGGATGATCTTTGCCGCATGATCTCGTAGGCTCGCGGGCAATGGACGCTTCATTGCTAGCGCCAAGGGCTGCCACCTGTATCGCCCGTTTCTTCTCGAGTGGCCACCTGAGCTGGGTGAGCTTCGCGAGCCTCAGCAGGATCTTCTTCGGAGACATTGTCAGTATCATGGTAGGCGCGGGGCAGCAACGGGGCCCTTGTCGCATCCCCATAGCCAATGAGGTTTGATGGGGCTGGTGCGCTAGTTGAAGAAGATTGATAATCTTCCAGCAGCATGTATGCAATCTAGTCATCGCTGCGTGTTAGTCGAATTTTGTGCGAGGGCTCTGCAGTCACATACCTGAACAAGGGCACTCATCAACACGATTCCAAACCCGATGCCGGACGCTTGCCCCAAGGCCGCCCGCAGCGGCCGAACACAAGCCAGAGTTCGGCCGTACATTTCCTCACACGTGCGGGCCGTTTGGTGATTCGGAAAGGGCCAGGCGCGGTCGCGGACCGTGTTGTAGCCGCAGCACTGGTACGCATCCTGGATGCGGCGGAGCGACTCGGCGTCGTGCCGGCTAAACAGGCGCTGCCAGATGGTGGACAGCAAGCAGTCTCGGGCATCAGAGGGCGGAATGTTGGAGAAGAAGAGCGTGGCCAGGACAATGGTCATGACGGCCTGCGCAAGGGGCAGGCCGCGACCGAGCGTTTGGTACGGGCGGGCCGCTTTGGCAAGACGAGCGGAGATGACAGTGCTGGCAATAGCCAAGACGAGCAGGAGGATGGTGGTGAGGGTGAGCCCCGGGAATAGCGGCAGCGATAGGTTGGCGGCGGCCACATGTTGGTATCTGTTGGTGGTTAGAACAGTTATGGCGATGGCGTGGGGGGTGGCGCATACATGGCCACGCCAATGAGCAGAAGCATCAGCTAGAAACAGAATTAGTGTGGAGCAAAAGTGCGGTTTTGTAGATAATTTGTACCAAAAAGTAAATGGGGAATAATCTCAGCATATTCAAGATGGTTCCGGTCGTGTTGTTTGTTGTATGCGATGGTGATTGTTGCACGAGCGGCTTCATTCTAGGAGGCGGGGTAGCAAACGGCCTTGCAACACGTGACGGGGGCCGCCGATGATATGATTTACTCTTGTCGATGGTCCTAGTAGTTCTCGAACAGACCTGTTGTATTGATTCACTCACTCGCACAACCACCAACTAACCTAGACGCTGGAAATAGGTGCTGTTTCGGCTAACATTTCTTTTTTTTTTTGCGGCCAGCGCCCTTGGGTACTGGCGATTGGAAGCCACGTTGTGCTTAGTACTGAGCTTGCTTGGAGTTGCCAGTGACGGGTAGGAGAGCGATTCCCCTTTGAAACGCGGCTCAAGCTGCATTTGCTCTTCCATCTCGGCTAGATTTGGCCCGATCAAATTGATTGTAAAACTGTAATACAAGGTGCTATACAGTAGGACCACTTTTCTCACTTTAACAGTCGCCTATTTCTATTTCTCAATTATTTTGCAGGTCAACTGCGGGTACCAATGCATACATGGCTGTATTGGTAAGATGAACAAAATCACTAATTAGCTATAGAAAAGAAAAAAAAGAAAACACGGACTGCGCTATAGACTACCTACTAATATCATTCGCGGTCAATCCGAGGCTATTATTGTTGTTATTATTGGTTGGCAGTTGTGGTATGGATTATGTAAGGGGCAGCCAAGTGGTGGCTCGGAACGCGATGCTACGTCCGCGCCTGCTCGGGCTCTGGCCTGACATTGTTGATGAGACAAGAATAAACTCGCCATGTGAAAATCCCACTCCATTTCCCCTCTCATTGCGTATCCAATCCAGCTCAAGAATCCCCCCCCGGGCGATATTGCTTCACTCTTCTGTCAACAAACGCCCGCCCATCATGGCGCCGTCGTTCTTGTCGCGCTGGCTGCCCTTTTCACCCTCCACCACGTCACTGCAGGCCGCGACATACTTGCTTGGTATCTGCCTCTTCAGCATCTCCTTTCTCGTCTTCCTCAACAGCTCCATCTCCTTCGTCGTCACCGACCTCCTTGGCACCAAGCACGGCGTCGGCAACATTGTCGGCACCCTCGGCTTCGCCGACGAGCTCGTCGCCCTCGTCGCCTGCCCGGCCTGGGGCCTCGTGTCGGATCGGCTCGGGGTTCGCTGGGTCGCCGTCATTGGGTACAGCATTATCGCCGCCGCGCTTGCGCTTTTTGTGCAGGCCAAAAATGTATATCCGCAGCTGCTGCTCGCGCGCATCCTCTTTGCCGTCGGCGCCTCGGCCTCGTACGTCATGATGAGCCCTTGCTTGCCCATACCTTGAACTAGTTAACCATTCCTCTCTAGCGCCACCATGGTGACGGCGATTCTGCCCTCACTGACCAGTGATGCCGGCGCCGCCAAGGATAGTAAGCCGTCTCTGCCGAGGCTCGGGCGCAATTCACGGCACAGCGCCGTCTTCTCGGTAGAATCCGAGGCCACCATTACACCAGAGCGGTACTCGCGCAGCATATCTCGCGAACGCGATGAGCCTGCGCCCGAGGAGCCCACGGAAGCGAGGAAGCCATCAGTATTGGCTGGCTTTGTGGGCTTGTTCACTGGCTGCGGCGCTTTACTGGCTCTGGTCCTGTTCCTACCGCTGCCCGTCCGCTTCGGCGGCATTGACGGCGTCACCCCTGGACAGGCCGTATCGTACAGCTTCCGTGTCGTGTCCGCTGTGTCTCTTTTGGTGGCTGTCTTTGTATTTCTCGGCCTGCGCAACCTGCATGGTGAAGACGGCAAGGGTTGGCGCGTGCTCCTCGGTCGCAGGAGCTGGTACCAGACACAGTTGCAGCACGACTCCGACCAACACGAGCAGAAGGTGGTTCCCTACATCAGTCTGCTCAAAGATTCTGTGCTTTTGGCCTTGACCGACTCCAGGATTAGCCTGGGCTACATTGGCGGGTTCGTCGCTCGCGCCTCCACAGTTGCCATTTCACTCTTCATTCCCCTCTATGTCAACACTTACTTCATCAGCAACGGCTACTGCACAGGGTCGCCGCACGACCCCTCGCCAGAGCTCAAAAAGGAATGCCGCTCTGCCTATATCCTCTCGTCCATTCTCACCGGCGTCGCGCAGTTGATGGGTCTCCTCTGCGCCCCTGTCTTTGGCTACGTCGCGAGCCGCAAGAGCCGCGTCAACTACCCTGTCATGACGGCGACCATACTCGGCATTGTCGGCTACCTCACCTTCCCGCAGCTACAAAGCCCCGAGATGAAGAATGTTGACGGTCGTGGTGGCACACCGGCCGTGTTCCTCGTCGTCACCCTGATGGGCATCAGCCAAATCGGCAGCATCGTCTGCAGCCTCGGCATTCTCGGCCAGGGCGTGCTTGCGGTCGACATGCAGCGCACCTCGTTGCGTGACGAGGCGGTCCCGTCGCTGGCCCCCGACGAGGATGAGACGGGTGACCACGACGGGTATCGGATTCGTATCGCGGCTGACGAAGCCGCAGGCTCGCGCGTGCGCCTCAAGGGCTCCATTGCAGGTGTATACTCGCTCTGCGGTGGCGCCGCCATCTTGCTGCTGACGAAGCTCGGCGGCTTCCTGTTTGACCGGGTGGATACTGGCGCGCCGTTTTACATGATGGCTGGCTTCAATGCGGTGCTGCTCATTGCGAGCTTGTGGGTGGACGCTGCGCGAGCCTTTGCTCGCGTCTAATAAGCATAGTAGTACGTAATTGCGTGCAAGGGACCCAGTTCAAAACCTGGCACCCCAAGATGTGACGACGAGATGGCACTATTAGAATGTCTGGTTAACGGAGCGATTTGAATTTGGATTGTGAGCAGCCTGCGTCACCGAGGCGTAGTTTATGATTATGAGCGAGTTTTGTCTTTAGTTTTGCCAAATACTTTTCTTGTCCCAGTTGCCAGTTTTAAAAGTCATGCGCATAATTGAGCTCGCTTGTGTGCTTCTTACAGGCTGATGCAAAATTGTATATATTATATCCGACGCCAAGCCAATACGCTTAAATGTGAAAAAATAAAATCAAGATCAAAATGTCTGGAACAATCTTGCTCAAGAGTATGCTGGGGTATCAACAGCTTGCACCGCCTGCACAATCAACACGTCCGCTTCGACAAACTCCTCCACTACCTGCGCTGCGAGAACTCCCAAGCAATGGGCCGTCTCGGGGGACGGGTTGTGCTTGAGCTTGCCGAGATCCAGCGTGTCCTTGGCATGCCTTCCGACCACAATGAGGCTGGACTTGTTTCGGTGCGAGGCGACTTCCAGGTTGGTCGATGCGTGGTGGATGAGTTCTTCCACGGTGCTGGGGCCGTCCACGTGCTCGAGCTGCACCTTGTCGGACAGTTCCTCGCCCAGGCCATCCAAGAGGTTGCTGATGTCCGTCCTGGACGAACTGGAGGCGTGCGCATCTTCATGCTTGGCTTTCAGGATGGTCGCCGTCGCCTGCGAGCCCTCGCACAGCTGCAGAACAAGACGGACAGCAAAGTCGTCGTCGGCGCCGCCAATGTAAATCATGAAGATGTGGTACGGCTGGTGATTGGCGGCCGCGACGGGGAAGTCTTGTCGCAGCATGCCGAGGGAGTACTGGCGCGTCAGCTTGCCCTTGTCCTCTGCTGGACTTTCCTTTGCGCTGGCATAGTCACTTCTAGTGAAATACACGGCAATGTTGTGTTCGTTGTTGTCCAGGATCGACGAGGCGAATGACGTGTACTGCGAGGCGAGCTTGTCCGCCTGCGCAGAGGATGACAGGATCTGCGAGTCGGCAATGTTGCCCGTCTCGCTCCAGGGAACGAGCAGCAGGTTGGCGGACATGGCCGCGGCCTTTGTGAGGAGCGCCTGGGAGAAGCGATGCTCGGGCATGATGGCGACCTCGCCGGAGACGGCGAGGGACTTGGACTGGGTCACGGTTCGGAAGGTGCTGACGACGGGGTCGTGCCGGCTGTAGCTGTCCACCTGGGACACGGTCATGACGGACGAGTCACGGTCCGTCAGCTCGAGGAGTCGGATACCATGGGCGCGCACTGGTCTCGGAGATGGGTTCCCCGCCTCTGCGACTTTATCCAGAGTCTTGGAAGAATCGCCAAACAGAGAGACGAGCCGCAACAGTCTCGACATCGTGTCCAGGCGCAGATAGACGAGGACGCGCGTCACGCTTTGCTCTCGCGCAGCGACTGGAGCTGCGCCGTCGCCGGGCGGCGGGCTGATGAGGGCTCCGGTATCCCAGTCGATCTCGCCTCGGCGCCAGAGTTCCATCTTCTTCTGGTACCAGGGCGGGTACAGCCATGACACCAGTGGTGTTGTTGTAAATGTGGTCAAGAGCGCCATGACGACAAAAATCGTAAAGGTGCGGGTGCTGAGGATGTTGGCTTGGAGGCCAATGTTCTACATGATTCACGTTAGATGCTGCAAACGACTTCAAGCTTCCGTCATGCAAACGTACCAGCACAATCAACTCGACGAGACCCTTGCAACTCATCAAGACACCAATGGTGAGCGATTCGCGCCACACGAGACCGTTTAGTCGTGCAGCGATAGACGCGCCAATAATCTTTGTCGAGAAAGCAACAATGGTTGTCGCAAAGACGTAGCCCCAGGCCAGGCCGCTGTTGAGCAGGCCAAGATTTGTCTTGAGACCTGAGAGGGTAAAGTAGAGTGGCAGGAGCAGCGCGCCAATCAAGTCCTCCATCTTTTCGGTGACTTTGATGTTGAACCGCTCTTCGCGCGGAACAATGAGACCGACCATGAAGGCGCCGAAGATGGGGTGCACACCGATGATGCCTGTAAAAAAGGCCGAGGCCAGTGCCAAGAGCATGATGAGTGACACGATGCTCTGGGAGGGGCCGGCCTGCAGACTATTTGTGCGACGGAGGAGCCAGTACAGCGCGGGTCTGACAAAATACACGAGCAAGAGAAGGAACCCGACGCAGCACAGGAGGATCCAGAGCGCCGTCAGGCCCTTGCCGGCGTTGACGAGGGTGACACACAAGGCCAGCAGCACCCAGCCGACGACATCGTTGGCGACACCGGCCGACAGAGTAATGACACCGACGGACGTATCCAGAAGCTTCAGCTCGGAGAGGATTCGACAGAGGACCGGGAACGCGGTAATGGCAATGGCGATGCCGATGAAGAGCATGTAGGTGCTGAAGCTGATGGGGGCGAGCCCCGAGTCGTCGCGAAACGCGTGGTAGACGCCCCAGGCGAGGCCGCAGCCGGCGGCGAAGGGCAGGGCCAGGCCGGCAAAGGCGACCGAGGTGGCGACGCGCCAGTTGCTGACGAGGTAGCCGACGTCGGTCTCCATGCCGATGAGGAACAGGTACAGGATGAGGCCGAGGTTGGCGACGAGCGACAGGTTCGGGAGCGACTCCTTGGGGAAGATGGCCTGCTGGAAGCCCGGCACGCGGCCCATGACCGAGGGCCCGAGGATGATGCCCCCGACGACCTCGGCGATGACGCGCGGCTGCCGGATCTTGGAGAGCGGCCAGTGCAGCGCATGGCAGACGATGATGATGAGGCCGGCCTAGGGAGAGGTCCGCGTTAGCAACCGCATCGGGCGACCGCGAGGCCGCTGCGAATGAGCGGGGGAAAAAAAAGAGACGTACTTGGATGATGAACAAGATGATGGGATCGTTTGGATTGTATTTGGACGGGTTGGCTCCTTCCATCACACCGCCCTGCGGAGGAGCCCGATTTGCGTCCGCCGCCGTGGCCATTTTTTTTTGTTTGGTTTGGCCTCCTGCCGTTCCGTTGTGTTTGTCGCACCGTAGACTTCTCCCGAGGGGGGTTCGAAGGGAACTGCTCCTTGAGCTTTTTCTGGGCTGCTGTGGTCGCCCGGTCAGTTTATTATAGCAAAGCAGAGAGGAAGCAGAGAATGTTTGTGCAAGACGCAATCATGGCTGCGCGAATATTGGCAGCATGACCTTGTTTACGGACGCCGTGGCGTCCCATCCTGGCGCAGTGGGCTGTGAAGCTGGAAAAGCGTCGATCTCCCTTTCTGCCAATGGCAGCTGGCCCACTCGGTTCTGGTATTCAGTTCAATCCGGAGTCAAGGTTTCTAGTTGGACTTTAAAGCTCTTTGCCAAGAGCTGCTACACTACTTTCTTTGTACAGGAGCGCGCAACTAACTAGTTATCTTTTGACACTTGGGAAATCACTTGACAGCTTTGCTTCCCTTGACAAATCCTTCCATCATCCTGGTCAACGACAAGCCTTGAAGGACGCCTCGTTTGTGGCGTGATGAGTGGCAGGCTGCTGTGTGACCTGGCCATACGGTCTCGGCGCCAAGATGTCACTTTGTGAGCAAGATATGCTGGAGAACCTAATCCCGCGGGACATTACAGGTTAGTTACACAAAGCCCAACCAACTTTGCCATTTGCTAGAAGCAGAAAAGCAGGCATCTCGGCTTCCGTATGCTCCGTAGGGTAGGGCTGTCGGCTGTCTCGCGTCCATGGCAAGACATGGCTTCCCCAAAACAAAAGCCCATCGCCGCGTGGGACATGAACAGGCTAGCGGCATCAAAAAATTGGGAGGCACAAAGTTCCACTTCAGCTGAGACGGCAGGCGTCCGGCGAAGGGGGATCGAGGGCAAGGGATCAAGGATCCCCAGGCTGATGTGGCGTCTTGCGCGTGATGGGATGGTGATCTGGTGCTCCCACACCGCCGCGCTGTTCATCAAGGGGATCTTGGAACAGGGAGGCCATCTACATTTTTTAGTTAGGGGAAGCACGTTTTCTGGCGAACCAACTTTGGCTCCGGGGAGCCCGTTTTTAGCCTCTGGGGCGAGACCAACAAGCAATTGGCACTAACTAAGTTAATAAGTTTTGAACAAGATAGCTTGCGCTACTGCGCCTGGTCATCCTGATCATCCTGTTCAGGACGTTGTCCGTCCGCTAGTCAGCCGGAAAGCATGTGACCAGTACAAGGGTTCTAGGCCTTTTTGGATCGACTGGAACTGGTTCTGGTACGATGGAACTTGGTACGAGAAGGGACTGTTCCAAGTTCGCCATGCAGAGGATATTGCACATATGCAGTATATGCAACATGCTGCCGCTTGGTGCCGAGCAGACAATGGCCTTTTTGGCGGACTTGCGATGACTGGCAGGTCCGCGTGCGTCAATTTTGACCAGCAGCATGTCTAGGACAAAAAAGCAAGGCTCCTTAACAATATTCACAAAAAGGCTGAAATTGTCGTATTCAGCGGCCTCACCGGTCTCACGGAACCATCTTGACGGGTTGGCTAGAACATCTGCTTTTGTGCCTGAAATCGGCGAGTACAGGCCACATGGGGTAGCACATGGACGTGTTTCTTGGGTTGCATCGGAATGCTTATTGTGAATGTTACCCACTGCGAGCGGCATGGCAGGCCGACCATCGCGCGTGCTTTGTATGGAGCGATTTCGCGGTTGTTGTCAGTAGTTTGGTATTCGTAGTCAATTATAACTCGTCAGCAGTGGTTGGAAACAAGCGAATGGGTTTGGGCAAGGGGAAGAAAATTTCAAATTCACCACGGGACCAGTTCTATAACGTGGATACCGTCAGAGTGTAAAGTCCAGTGCGCCAGCTGACAAGTCCGGGCGTGCCTGACTATGAGTATGTACCACGGACTATTAACCGCTGTGGATATGCAATGATGGAAAACTTTGGCCTTTCGACAGCCTCATAATATAGTGATTCCATACAGCCAAGGACACAGGGAAACACAAGGGCACACGAACGGGCACAGGGAGGGACAGGCTATGCTAAAATTAGGCCGTCATTAGACGAAGAGGCCACGGCCGAGTCAGTAAGAGCCGCACAAGTTACAAATACTATAGCTACGGATAGACGGAGACAAAACGGAACGAAAGACGGAACGAAAAGACAGCAACTACCTGGTATCCGTCAGATGCATTTTGGATTCTCCGTTTTCGTTCCATCTATCCGTCTTTGCTCGGTCAATTAGAGCGCCTCTCAGCCATTTTCCATGCGGCAGTACGAGTATGGCCGAAAATAGTGCCAGCTGAGGAGTTTCGCCAAAGAGTCAGGCTGCCAACTCGTGGGAGAACTGGGGGCGGAGATGCAGCTAGCTACCTCTAGCGAGCGATTTAATCATCAACATGAAGGAACACGTTACGGATTGCCAGAACGGAGTACGGAGTATGTACACTGCTTGGACGAGGCTCTGCCCAGGGTTGGTTCGCCTGGTTGGTTGCCTGCCCGCACCGTGGACGCACACCCTCCCGTAATGGACGTGCCGGCGACGCGTGTTTGCTCACCGTGTGCAGCGGCATCATGACTGCATGGAAACCAAACCAAACTTAGTTTCGTCAGCCAGTGGGATGGCTTTTTCTACCAGAGGTTGACGGCACATCGGTTGCCAAGCGCCAATTCGGCCGCGCAACAAACCCATTTCTGCCAGGTCCGGTCAGAAAGCAGAAAGGGTTGCTGAGACACCAAACAAAGGGCTGCATTCCAGTCCGCACGCATCACTACCCAACGCCACCTACCCTGGGCCGGAGACATGGGGGGGTGGTGATGATGTGCGTGTGGGCTTGATGCGGCTAGCAGCAGGACATTGTGGTAACCACCAAAAAACGAGTTTCATAGCACGCTATTGGCATAGACTTTGGAGCGCGGCGCCGTACTACACATTACACGCTGTGTGGCTTCATGGAGAATCGAAGTGGCTTATTCGTTAGTCTGGGGCGGCCCTCTACCAGAGTCACGACGCCTTCTTCGTGTAACTACTACTGTAGACCGTATCCGTACTAACGAGGAATTTGTATCAACTAGTTCGTTGCAAGTTGCGTAAGTTACAGAGTACAGAGGCTGGGGGAAAAACTCTAACAACGCAAGCAGCTGAGCAACCCCCCCCCCTCACACCCCCCTAGCAACAAGGCCAATGCCAGAAGCCGTAGGCAAGACACGAGCTAATGACGGGACAGTCAATCACCGATGCTCACCGACCCGGGCTATTTAGCAACAACAAGCAAAAAAGGGCAGGTCCCGGACAATCATATTGTGGTCGCGAGTATGTAACGTTTGTGATCAATGACAATTAGCCACGCGACGACCTAGTGAAAAAAAAAGAGGAAAAAAAATACCATCCGGCCCTTCTCGGCGCTTCTCGCCCCCATTAAACCCCAGCGCAACAAGTGGCTCCGGGGGAACAGAATAAGGGGGCTTTTTCTCTGCCCCAGACGAACCGTGACGAGGGGAAACGAGGGGGGCAGAAAGGCATAGCAGGTGGCGCTTATATCCATAACGACCAACTACAAATCATCCTTCTCGGGCTTCCGCGAAAAAGTCTGGGGGGGGCGCCTTCGGCCCTTTTCTCCAGCCCCAATGGGGCGAGCGCTCTTGGATGCTCTTGGATACACTGATATTCGGTCCTCTTTCCCCCACAATGGAGCCGCCAACAAGGAGGTTTTGTCTGTTCGGGTCTTGTAACTAACTACTTTGTTTGGAGCTGGTCAAGAGACAACTGGCTCATGTACCCCGTACTCGGTCACGGGAGAGCAACTCGAACTCTATCCCCAGGCTTGCTTAACTCGTACAGTAACTCGTACAGTAACTCGAACAATAACTCGAACAGTAACCCGAACGGACACTCGTACAGTAACTCATACAATAACTCGCTACAGTACAGTCACTCCTTGTATGTACCAACTGTTACTGCCATGCTCTCAAATTAGCCCATCATCACGTTGCACACCCGTAAAGCCGGCTGCCTCTGCGCATGCCGCGCTATGCCCACACCCCCTTATTCACAGAAGCTTCATCCCGGTCCAGAATCTCCTCAACGGCGGCGCCCAAACCCCCCTGCTCTCCGGCCGCGCCCCCCCCCCCCAAAAAAAGTCAGCCATGCCCGGCAAAGCGCCGAAGGCGTGTTTGGGGAAGTTGGTCCCATTTCCCCATTTGAGAAAAAAAGTATGTAGAGCATTCTAAAACCACGAGCTACGGGAAACTGGTATAAGACTCCCATCGTTGCCCGCCCTCCCTTTCCCTCTCAACTCGTTGTCTTGGTAGATTTTGTCTCACGGATCCCCCCCCCCTCCCATTGTCCCCCCGTCCATTGTTCATAACCCTTCCGGGCCCTAAACAAAAGCTTCAAACATCATGTCCGGCGACAACAAGGTTGAAGTCGGCGAGTTCCGCCACGACGACGTGGCCCTCCACGCCGCCCAGGATGTCGAGGCCATCGAGGCCCCCGTCACCTGGAAGGCGTATCTCATGTGCGCTTTCGCCTCGTTTGGCGGCATCTTCTTCGGGTACGACTCGGGATACATCAACGGCGTCACGGCGTCGCCCATCTTCTACAAGGCCGTCGAGGGCGCCACCGCCACCAAGCTGTCCGACCCCAACACCTCGCTCATCGTCTCCATCCTGTCTTGCGGTACCTTTTTCGGCGCCCTCATCGCCGGCGACATGGCCGACTGGATCGGCCGCAAGTGGACCGTCATCATGGGCTGCGTCATCTATGCCATTGGTGTGGCCATTCAGATGATCACCAGTCCGTCGCACGCGCTCGGCCCCATTGTCGCTGGTCGTCTCATCGCTGGTCTCGGTGTTGGTTTCGAGTCGGCCATTGTCATTCTCTACATGTCTGAAATTGTACGTCTCTCTCTCTCCGTCGTGCAAGGCCAAAAGCCTTATGCAGGATGCTAACCTCCCCTCTTGTAGTGCCCTCGAAAGGTCCGCGGTGCTCTAGTTTCCGGCTACCAGTTCTGCATCACCATCGGTCTCATGCTGGCCTCCATCGTCGTCAACTACACCTCGCACCTCGACAACACCAGCTCCTACCGCATCCCCATCGGCATCCAGTTCCCTTGGGCCGTCATCCTGGGCGGTGGTCTCCTGTTCCTGCCCGAGTCGCCCAGATACTACATCAAGAAGGGCAAGGTCCAAAAGGCCGTCTCCTCCATTGCCAGGCTCCGTGGCCAGCCCGAAAACTCCGAGTTTGTCCAGAGCGAGGTCGCCGAGATTGTCGCCAACGAAGAGTACGAGCGCGCGCTGATTCCCTCCACCACCTGGTACGGCAGCTGGGCCAACTGCTTCAAGGGCAGCCTGTGGGTGGCCAAGTCGAACCTGCGCCGCACCATTCTCGGCACGTCGCTGCAGATGATGCAGCAGTGGACCGGTGTCAACTTCATCTTTTACTTTTCCGCTACCTTCCTCAAGTCTACCGGCGCTGTCAAGAACGTATTCCTGACGTCCATGATCTTCACCATTATCAACGTCCTGTCCACGCCTCTGTCCTTCTGGACCGTTGAGCGCTTTGGTCGTCGCTCCATCTTGCTTGTTGGCGCCCTCGGTATGCTCATCTGTCAATTCCTCGTCGCCATCATTGGTGTCACGGCTGGTTTCGACAACGTCCACGCCACTCCTACTGCCGAAGACCCTACCGCCACCACCCCCAACAACCTGGGTGCCGTCAACGCTCAGATTGCCTTCATCTCCATCTTCATCTTCTTCTTCGCCTCGACCTGGGGTCCCGGTGCTTGGGTCGTCATTGGTGAAATCTTCCCTCTGCCCATCCGCTCTCGTGGTGTCGGTCTTTCCACCGCCTCCAACTGGCTCTGGAACACCATCATCGCCGTCATCACCCCCTACATGGTTGGTTCTGACAAGGGCAACCTCAAGTCCAAGGTCTTCTTCATCTGGGGCGGTCTCTGCACCTGCGCGCTGGTCTACACCTACTTCCTTGTCCCCGAAACCAAGGGTCTGTCTCTCGAGCAGGTTGATAAGATGATGGAGGAGACCACCCCCCGCACTTCTGCCAAGTGGAAGCCTCACTCGACCTTTGCCGGTGGCCAAGCCAGCGGCGGCCACTTCGAGAAGGACGTCGATGGCCACGGCTCGGCTGTTTAAGCGTGGCTGGTCTAGAACCTGTTTTATGTATCAAGATGAACGAGTACAACACATACCCTGATAAAAAAGCTGAGTGTTGTTATTTATTATAACCAGTCTTTTTTTATTCACTTAGCTATAATACCATTTCAAACTATTTCCATGTTTCCTCTGCTGTCATGAACTGTATCGTAGAGGGGCTAGTAGAGCTTTACCGCAGAGTGTTGAGTGTCCATGTCGTTGATCTGACGACCTGAATTTAATGTATAAAATCGATGAATTATATTTTATAATGGTCAGTGACTGCAGATGAGAAAAAAAACGCAGAGTCCATGCCAGCGCGTGGCCATAACCTTGTTTTGGGTCACATCGCTGCCCACCCCCCCATTTGCCCCTCCAGGGAAAAAAAACGCAGTCCTTGCCTCTTGCAACCTTGACACTCAATGCGTTGACGGAATTATCGCAATGGATGCATAACCAACGTTCTCTCACCGGGAAGTCAAACTCAAGCCACATGGATGCGACACGCACGGCTTCCCAGCCCTTGTCCGAGGTGCTCCCGCCGCTGATCTTGGGCACTGCCACGTTTAACCACCAATACCACCCCGATCCGACGCATATGCCCTATGTCGACATTGTCCGGCGCGCCCTCGACCACAAAATTGCTGCTTTCGATACATCGCCATACTACGGCCCCTCTGAGATTCTCCTTGGTGATGCGCTGCGCCGTATAGAGCCGGCGCCAGCACGCGACTCATACTTTCTCATCACAAAGGCTGGTCGCATTGCTGGTGACGAGTTTGACTACTCCCCCGCCTGGATCCGATACAGTGTATTTCGAAGCCTCGAACGACTCGGCACAGACCGCCTTGATATGGTGTACATGCACGATGTGGAATTCGTGTCTCCGGCCGAAGTGCTCGGCGCGGTCAAGGAGCTGAGGCGTCTTCGCGACGAGGGCGTCATTCGTTATGCTGGTATCAGCGGATACCCTGTCATGACGCTCGTCTCGCTCGCAGAAATGATTTTGCGGGAAACATCGGAGCCCATTGACGCCATCCTTTCATACGGACACTTTTGTCTGCAGAACACTCAGCTCGGCCGGACGGAGATCCTTGAGCGATTTGCCTCAGCGGGCGTTGGCTGCATCCTCAATGCCAGTATGCTTAGCATGGGATTGTTGACCTCGAATGGCGTCGATAGTCTCCCGATGGGTGCCTGGCACCCAGCGCCGCCAGAGCTGCGCAAAGCGTGCCACGACCTTGCTGCCGTGGCCAAGTCAGAGAACAGGCACTTGGAAGAGGTTGCCATTCGATGGGCTTTGCGCAACTGGATCTACCAGGGGTCTGGCTTCGGAACAAAAGCTTACAAAAGCGATAAAAACGACAAGTTGCCTGTGCGTATTGGAGCAAGCGTCATGGGTGTTTCGTCTATCGACCAGCTGGAAGAGACGTGGCAACTCTGGCAGAGTGTCACCAATGAACAAGGCGAAGATGGCACAAACTCCCTGGTAGAACAGCGGATGTGGCCAAGCCTAGGAAAATGGAAAGACTACGCATGGGAAAGCGGCGGGACGTCTTTTACAAACTCTCGCAAGGTCATGGGAGTTGTGCCAGATGATGACGTCGCGAAACGATGCGGGCTCGCTGCGAGCCCGGCTATTGACGGTTCGAAGTCGTAAAAAGCCATGTACGAGATTATAATGTCATGGATCTGTACACGATATCATGAAAAAAAAATAGAAATTACACAATAGAAATATCTCTCAAATAAGAAAGTTTTTCGTCGTCGAGTTGACATCTTGGTCATTTGCCCCACCTATCTCGCGATGTTGCCAGAGTGTAGTTGGACCTCGAACTTGCTCCCGCCATCGACCTACGACGACAGACGAGCTCAGCCCCCATGGCCGGCGGACGAAAAGCGAAACCCGCGCCATCCTCCAGCACGCCGAGAAACACTCTTGTGCTCGACAATGGCGCCTCGACCCTAAAGGCAGGCTTCGTCCGCGACGGGCAAGTTGGCACGCCACGCATCATCCCCAACTGCATCGCCCGCGACCGCGCGCGCAAAGTCTACGTCGCGTCCGAGCTGGAACGATGCACCGACTTTGGCGAGATTCAGTTCCGGCGGCCCGTAGAAAAGGGGTGCATTGTCAACTGGGAGGTGCAGTCGGAGATTTGGGACTACGAGTTCTTTGGCAGCAAGGCGCCGTCGCCCTGCGATCCTTCGGCAACGCGACTTGTGCTGGCAGAGCCGCCCAACGGGCTCCCTGTACTGCAGGCAAACTGCGACCAAATCGTCTTTGAGGAATATGGGTTCGAAAGCTACTACCGTGGCGTCGGTATGTTGGCAGCCATGGCCAGGCAGCTCTGCAGACAATTAACAGGTATTACTAGGGCCCGCCTTCAACGCATACCACGACTTGCAGGCTCTGTTCCGAACACCGATGGACATTGCGACGGTCGCCAATATACCTGCCGAGATTCTCCTCGTCATCGACTCGGGCTATTCGCACACCACAGTGACGCCCGTATTTCGAGGCCGGCCACTGCAGTCCGCCGTGCGCCGCTTGGACGTCGGCGGCAAGCTGCTCACCAACTACATGGCGCGGCAAATCTCCTTGCGCCATTTCGATGTTCGCAACGACCCCCATATTGTCAACGAGATGAAGGAGCTGGCATGCTTTGTCTCGCCCGACCTGAAGCGCGACCTGGACAGGTCCTGGAAGGGAACCCGTGGCCAGAAACGGCCAGAATACGTGGCCGGCGACGGCATCGCCAAAGACTACATCCTGCCCGACTTTCATAGCAGGCTCAAGGGCTCCGTGCGCAGTTACGACCCAGCGAACCATACGAAAGCGCTCAAGGTGACCGCGACGCAAGCCGACGAGGATGTGCTCACGCTCCGCAACGAGCGTTTCACCATACCGGAAATCCTCTTCAATCCCTCTGATATCGGCATGCGACAGCCTGGCATCGCCGATCTCATCCACCAATCGCTCCAGGGCCTGCCCGTCGGGTTGTGGCCCGGCCTACTCGCCAACATGGTGGCTGTCGGCGGCAATTCCCTGTTTGACGGCTTCATCCAGCGCCTCCAGAAAGAGGTTGTACAGCGCGTGCCCGACGACTGCGTGGTGCGCGTGGCCCGACCGGCGGATCCCATCACGAGTACGTGGGCGGGCGCGGCCAACCTGGCCAGCCATGCCAGTATTGAAAAGCTCGTCGTGACAAAGCAGCAGTACGAGGAGCATGGACAGGCCTGGATGGCGCGCAAATTTCTGGCAGGACCTGATACTTGATAGTTCAGTTACATGGTCAGGGAATTACCATCATGATTGATGCACAGGACAGACAGGCTTTGCAAGCGTTTGCGTAAGCTTAAAATCCTGAACTGAGCTCACCAGCTCCGAAATATAACACAGCGATTGGCCACATCAAAGCCGTCTCACTGGGAAGAAGCCCGCGCCGTCCGTCTCAAAGGGCATCGACAACCCGGTTCGCCAAGAGGCAACTCGTTTCGATGCTGTAGCGGTTTGAGCGAGGGAACGGGCCGCCAGGCCACAACCTCACATGTATATCAAGAGCTACGCCCGAGTGTTTATGTAGTAGTCTTTCAAGGATGAGATGAGATTCAGCTAATTAACTACTGGGACCTATATTCCGGGCCATCAATCAATCTGCGCAAGGCTCCCATTCTAGCTAGGCCCAGGCCATGAGTATACACGCTAATAGTTCGGACAGCAAGTTCAATACGCTATGGTGCTACCCAGTAGCAAAATGTTAAAATGAGCAAAATGGCTATGCTTTTTTAGAACCCGGCTCTTCGGCGGATGTGGTTCAGATGGCCGATGTCACGTAGCATGGCGAGTGGCGGCGGGCTGCCCTCATGTCCCTTTGTCTTGGCCATTCTGCGGCCTCGAGAGACGCACCCTGTTCGCTTCGTTAGTATTTCGGTAACATGTTTTCTTCCCAATTGACAAGATGCTTACAATCACACTAGAAAGGGTCAGTTTGTGGGGTTTTGAAGGGTGTATGGATGGGGTTCGGACTTACAAACTCGGCGGATGACCCTTCATTATGGACAGTACAGTAGCCGGCGCAGCACTTTCTGCATACGCGCTGTGTCTTGTCGATGCAGTCGTCGCACTATCCCATGTTAGACACTGTCAACGGGCAGGCACCGGACGACCAAACTCACGCTATTGCCGCACTCCCAGCAGCTCTTGGTCACTCGGTTCTGCAGGTGGAGAGTTAGCTTCTGTACACAGCAACGGCGGTCCAATTTCAGGAACTGCATCGTCACACATCTGAGTATGTACCTTGGTTTTGGAGGCCGTCTCTTCAAGAAACAGGTAGTCCTCGAGACCAGCATTCTCAACCTCGTCGAGGATGACAACGGCCGGTTCGTACTGCGCGCCCTGTCCGGGCAGCTGATAGCACGACTCGCACCACCACTTGCTGCAGCAGTGGCAGTAGCGATCCGTGATGCACTCGGCGCAGCGCGGCACAAACGCTGTCGCCGTCGCGCTCGGCGCCGTCGCCGCGCGCAGCGACGAGGACATGATAGGCGGTGGGCTAATCAGTGGCAGTTCGACGGCGGGATGCGCGGCATTCGGCGTCGTTATGCCCTCGGGGGCTCGGCCGCAGCCCGCGCAGCCGGACAGGGCGTATGTCGCCACGGCGGGCCGCTGGTCGGCGCGCACGTAGGCGTGGCCGGCCGCGCGGCTGGTGCGGTGGCGCGGGCCCTGGCACAGGACCGCGTCAAAGGCGATGAGCCCGGCGCAGGCGACGAGGCAGCTGGCCCACTCGTCGGGCACGGCGCGCTTGAACTGGCGGCCCTTGACATCCCACCAGGCATCGCCGCCGAGCTGCAGACTCTGTGTCGATGGGCCCGACGGCGGAGGAGCCACGGCCTCTTTGGGGCCAAACAGGTAAAGACCCCTCAGCCGAGGACTGCCATCGCGGCTCGGGCGGCAGGCGTACTGGAGCGCTCCGCGAAGCTTTCCGTGGTTGAGATTCTGCACGTCGCGGATGGACAGCAGCTTCACGTTGAATCTGGGGTCGTGAATGATGTCATGGCAGAATTCTGCGGTGACGGAGAGCCCGTCGAGAACAAGAGTCTGCACATCTTGCAGGATATTTCGCCTTTGCAAAATGGAAAACAGTCCTCTTAATGGTCCAGCATAGAAGCTGAGCGGTGGGGAGATGATGATGAGTTACTCGGAGGAACAGGGTAAACATGGTGGGGAGGGAATACTTACTCGTCTTCGCTCAAATTTTCATCGAGCTGGGTGTTTCTCCAAACTTGGCCGCCGTGGTCAATGGCGCCGAGATCAGCGTGGACCTTGTTGACTGTCGTGAGTTCCAGGTGGCGATACACGCCGGGGGTGTGGGTGATGGTGCTTCGGAGCGCTCGGTTCGTTGCCGTGAGCCTGGTAATGGACGATGGCGGCAAAAAAGCAACAATGTGGGATAAAATGAGCGTGTTGTGGAATATATCCAGCAAACTAGTGGCAGATCTCTTAAATCCTTCGCGTTCTGTGCTGTCGATGATGGCGTCGCTCATGTCAGGCTGCCTTTGTTGTATTCAGAGGCGATTGGGGGGTTGTATTGGGATGCGAGGTGTGATGAAAGGGGAATCAAGAAGCAAAGGGGGTATAACGGAGGGGGAGAATAAAAGGTTTAAAATAAACAAGACGGGAGAGATGATTCAGATGAGACTCTGGAGGAGCTGGGGCCCTCAACAAGTCGGGCCTTTCATGTAATATTACGCAGATGTCGATCCAGAGGAGTACGGGTCGCTGAGGTCACTTATGGTGACGGTTACCGAAGTTGCTGCCAAGACGTGGTAGGAATAGAGCCCTGTTCTGGGAGTGAGACAGTTTCAAAAGATTGCATTCCCGCCTAGACGAAACGCTGCAACAAGGGAAGGGCAAAGCCCAAGCCATCCTTTTTTTTTTCAACAAAACTACAGATTGGATGGCCCGAGTACCACACGCGTAAGACCAGCATGACAGCCAAACATGCGCCTCGAGAGGAGCCAGGACCTGGAAGGGTTGGGTGTGTCAAGGTGGTGGTGGGATCCAACCCTGACATTGGATAGGTTAGACTTTGGTACTGCGCCAGACTTGACTTAGACTGGCCCTGTTGGAGACGACGCAAGGTTGCCCGCCCGCAGCGCTATAAAGTGGTGACATGGACAAGGGCAGGGATGCCGAGATGGCCACAGCGGATGTAACATGCGCTGGTTCGGGGTCGAAGGATCTTTGCCTAGCTGGGCCTCGCTGGGACTGGCGAGCAGATTCAACGCCATCTGCCAATGTCCATGTCTGATCTGTGGTGCTACTGCAAGTTTGCCACCCACACCTGATGAGCTGTCTCGAGCGGTACCGGACGAGGCGTTGTTGCATAACTAACAGCAGCGGCGCACTGAGAATGGACGGCTTTCCTCATTCACGTACGCCGAAGACGAGGCGCGCAACGATGGGTCGGCAACGTGGTGCCGACGGGAAGCATCAGCTGGTTATCTGGGAGCCGGTGGTGTGGATGGCACAAGGCCTCACTCAACGTGGCCTGGCCATGACTAGTTGCCGGCGCACAGTAATGCTGATACAAAGGCAGGCATTCGTCTTGCCTGCATGATGGGTAAGATGGACTCACTCAACTTGTATGCGTCGACTTCAGGGTCGACGCGGCATTCGTCATAAACACGGTCGGGGCGGGCACGTTTTCCCAGTGAGACAGTGGATTACGCTTATCTCTCCGTCACATCTGACTAGTGGACGCCAGGTTCCACACCAGCTCTTCAATGACTTGACGCCAAAACAGCGAAATGCACCGAGTTGCATGCAAAGTTCGGACTCTTGAAGCCTGGGGGGGGAGGAGGCTTGCATTGCATGGCGGTACAGGGGCATTCGGTGTGGCGGGCAAAGCGGAAAAAAAAAGCAAAGCCGGCAGCAAGGTTGCTCTCAACAGCGAGATGGTCGTAATATCAGGGGCTCTCGAATACCGGTAAGAGTCAAGAGTCAAAGAGCACTGGCTGCAGCAAAAGAGGCCTCACCTCACTCATCTCTGTCTCAAACTCAGCAGCGCCAAGGAAGCAACCTCAGGCTTGTCCAATTTTAGTAACTCAAGGTCCAGTCATGGACTTGTTTCGTGGAGGAGCTGGCCGGCACACGCTGCCACCATCGACTAACTAACCCGTAGCCCCGATATTACTACAGGATGAGGCATGGGCACCAAGCAAACAGGATCTATCGTAATACAGATGTCGTGACACAGCTATTCTGGGGTGCACCCCGGGGGGGAAAAGCTGGACCCTTTTGCAAGGAGATAGTCGCCGGCGATGACCCCTTTTCATTCGGGACGTTGATCATACAAGTACCCTGCAACGCGTATTAATATAATAATATTACCCTTCGTGACCCACCGCAGGGGCGCATCCTGACAAACACGTCTTCATCAGAGACAGATGCAACACATGGCAGACAAGCAAGGTCTTCGTACTGGAGGGTAGGTAGATGATAACTAAACTGAGACAATAGCCAGGATGCCACTCACCGAAACCCAGCGCCAGCATACCGATAAAACCTTATCAAACCAATGAAATGAGCTGGCCGGTAGATATTTTTTCGAGAACGCTACCCAATCGCGATGAGAAACGCGACGATGCACTCTACCGCTCGCCATGTCTTGCCTACTTACTGTCGCTTACGAATCGAGTGTGGCGAGAAGCGACGGCTGCCTCGGAAATAATACACCGCCGTCAAGTCCCGATACCTTCAATCTATGCAGTATTTTTTCATCCATATCTTGCAAACCTTCGATACGAATTACAAGATGAAGCAAAACAGTGAGATTTGGGCGCTTGTTGCGGGCGGTCTTCTCCGCGCCCAAGTGAATCACGGCACGTGATTTTGGCGGGGAGAATCGCCAGTTAGCGTTCCTGGTGGCAAAGAGTGGAAGCCTCAAGAAATTGCTGACGGAGCAGTCGCTGCCTGATGATGGAAGCCTTTTGGTCATATTCAATACATATTCGTAGTCGGCCCAGCTGGTGAGAATGTATTGTTCATCATTACACCCGTAACACGACCTGGAAACTTGGAGCCACGCCTCCGCCACCATCCACCGCAGACAAACAAACCACCGCTCGACAACGTCTTGCATCTGCGAGGATGGAGCTTGAGCTACCGGTTTTAGAATGGCAAGACCGTTTCGCCCTACTGCCGCTAGAAGCAAGCAATGGCAGCCTCGACGGTGATAAAATAATCCTACCACAGTCTGCTTTGGAGCAGCTGCTCAATGCGGCCGCGTCTCAGGCGGTGACGCAGGACAATTACACAACGTCATCATCACAGCTTCCGCATCCTCTCATCTTTCGTCTTGTAAACCGGATCACCAAAAAGGCAGTATATGCTGGAATCCGGGAATTTTCGGCGCCCGAGGGGACGGTTATGCTGAGTCCGTATTTGCTCAGCGCCCTGGATCTGGCTACGGATCAGGACAACGCCAAGAACTCGTCATTGGCTGATCCGCCAACGCAACTTGATATATTCGCCGCAACATTACGAAAAGGAACCTACGCGCGACTGCGACCCTTGGAGGCAGGGTACAATCCCGAGGACTGGCGGCCCCTGCTCGAGAGACAATTGCGACGAGACTTCACGTCGCTCACCAAAGATGCGACAATACTTGTACACGGAGTTCGAGGCGAGGTATTCCGGTTGCTGGTTGACAAGTTGCTACCGGAAGCGGAGGGCGTGTGCGTGGTAGATACAGACCTCGAGGTCGATATTGAAGCATTAGACGAGGAGCAGGCGCGCGAAACGCTGCGTCAGGCCATCAGCACCAATCCTCAATCAAATGGCCAAGGTGGTACCAAAGGCGGTTTACTCGATATTTGGAAGCCCGTATCCGACGAAATTCCCATCGGCAGCTATGTTGACTTTACACTTCCTTCATGGGACCGATCTCAGCCTTTGCAGCTAACCCTGTCCAACATGTCTGAGCCTGAGGCTTTGGAGATGTTTGTCACGCCAAAATCCAAATACCAACGTGCCCTCCCACGCAATACAGAGCATGTCTTTAGCACAATCGACTCGGCTGGCCCGAGGACGACGAAAAGCATTAGCATCTCTCCGTCGAATATCGAAATGGAGGAAGCTGAGAGCCTACGAATTGCAGTCTACGCATACCCTGACGGCGCTTCAAAGATGGCAGACAATGCTATTCAGTATACTCTACGCGCTCGAGTTTCGATGCAAACGGAAAACGCCATCGCCCGGGGCCATGCTGAGATGGTCGAAAGGCACGATGACAAGGAGGCGCAGTGTTTGAACTGTCGACAGTGGGTTCCAAAAGAAAGCCTTGTCTTGCACGAGAACTTTTGCCGACGCAACAACATTATCTGCCCCAAGTGCAAGTCGGTATTTAAAAAGAACTCAGAAGAATTCACCGCTCACTGGCATTGTGAGCATGATGAGGCACACGGAGACACACAATACAGCAAGCGCAAACACGACGACATGTTCCACAACAGCTGGCTTTGTCCTGGTTGCACTTTTCAAACGAATTCGCTGCCTGATTTAGCAAGGCACAGGAGTACGATATGCCCGGGAAAAATTATCCTTTGTCAGTTCTGTCACCTCGAGGTGCCACAGGAGGGCGATCCATTCAACCCCTCTGCGGAAGTGATGATGTCTGGATTGACGGCGCACGAACTAGCTGACGGCGCGCGCACGACGGAATGTCACTTGTGCGACAAGATCATCAAGCTAAAGGACATGCAGACACACTTGAAGCACCACGAGCTGGACAAGATCGGCAAAGAGAAGCCGCCCGTCTGTCGCAACGCGAACTGTGGGCGGACGCGCTATGGCGTTCGCAGTCGGGGACAGGTGCGGCATGCGCCCGAGGTCGACGGGCCGCAAGGTGCTGCTGTCGGGCTGTGCGCGCTCTGCTTCGGCCCTCTGTACGTCAGCATGCACGATCCGGACGGGAAAGCGCTCCGCCGACGCATCGAGCGGCGCTACCTCACGCAGCTCATGACGGGATGCCGCAAAAGCACGTGCGTCAACGCGTGGTGCAAGACGGGCCGCGCCAATTCGGGGATAGAGGCATGGGGCGCGTCGGCCAAGGACGCCTTGCCCCTGGTCAAGCCGCTGGTGGCGACGTGCCTGGACATGGACACGCCGGTATTCTTTTGCGTCGACGAGCTGAGCCAGCGTGGGCGGACGCTGGCGGACATGATTGCTTCCGAGGGCGTGTGGGACGTGACGTGGTGCATCGCCGCGGCCGAGGCGGAAAAGGCGGATGCGGATAAGATGCGAGAGTGGCTGCAGGCATGGGCGCCGAGGAAGATGTAATGGGATGGAACGAGTGATGGTTGATGTGTCGAGTTGGGCGGCATTATAGATACGAGATGACTGAATGGACAAATAGATGGAAAGTAGATCAAAGCCACTTGCGATGATTGAGTTGGTGGTCTGGGCGTTTTGGTTAGTGATACGGCTTCGAAAAAGGGAAAAAGATGTTATCCCTTTTGAAGAATTCTTTTAGTTCAGTCATTGAGAAAATTCAGCACTTGAGGGATGCACAAAACTACCTGCCTAAACGGAGGAAGTCTTTGACCATCTCACTGAGGAGGCACTGTAAAGCACGGCGGGGGAAGATGTTTGAGGAAAGTGACGAGCAGTTCATGCCTATATCTAGAACCGTTCCAATTCCATGTCAATGTTTGTCTCTTTCGAGCAGTCTGTTACAACCTTCTTTCACAGCTTTCTTTACCCACCATTCTGTTACACACCATTCTAGCCAAAAAACCCCATCTCCCAGTCTAGAATCCCCGTGGCATTCCCTGTCAAATTGTCACGGACAATATCCTCCCAGAAGAGATCTGCAGAGGCGAATCGTCCGTCGTATATCTTTAGTAATTGATTCCGATATACAGAGACCCATTCTGGTCGCAGGCATCGCCGAACAGGGGCGACAGAAAGTAATGAAATTTCTGGGCAAGTATGAGCTGCCCAACTCATTTGCGATCGTGCCGTATTATCGGCCACACCGCACCAAGTGAAAGCCTTCGGAGATCAGCCGATCTGGTGCTTGTAACTGGCACACGAGAGTGTTTGAGAAGAGAACTAGAGCTTGTTGGCATGCTGTATGAAAGGCAAGGGATTGGATAGGTTCGTGTTCTAGGGTAAGCTTCGTCTCCCCAAAGACGCCGACTACTTCTTACAAGGTCCCTAAAAGATCTCAAATGGTAAGGCTAAGAACACAAGTTCTCTAAATATATAAACTTATTTCAAGTATATAGAAACAAAGTTTAAGAAAAAGAGCTGTACTATAGAATATAGAAAAAAAAAATACAATAGATTTTATAAGAATAAAAAAGCTAAAATAATTCCATATTTTCTTCCCTTCTTTTACAATTCAAAATCACAACAGATAAAGCTGCTAGTATTTAGGTAGTAGTACCTATTAGGTAATTACAGACAGTGGCCCTAGGTATAGCCTGCAAGGTAGTAGTTTGGTATGGAGTGAAAAGAAAGCAAGTTCCGCTCGCATCACAGCAGGTGGGGTAAGAGCCAATCGCTCCAGCCTCTGCTCCACCTCCCCGTTGACGTAAGTCGCCTCCAAATAACCAGTAGCCCACATCACAGCCTGGAACTCCGTCAACACAAGCGACATTCGGTGCTTTGCCTCGCCATCATCGGGCTTTTCTTTGTCTCTTGCTTCATCTCAATCATACGCCCGCAACCCAGTATTCTTGTACTATCGTTGCACCGATTTTCTTTGTTGCCTGTACGCCGTGTCTCGCTTCCCCGTCGCCGCAGCGACCCAACTTTGGCTGCGTGTCGTTGCTCGGTCGCATCTCTACCGGTATCCCTACAAATCTCCTCCATGTCTTAACGAGGTATCAATACGACTCAAAAATCATCGCTCCACGCTTCGATATGCTCGCGTGTCGTCTCCGCAACGCTTGACCTAGATTCCGGCAGCGCCGACACTCTTGTAGGTGCAGCAGACCCTCCCTCCTCGGCATTGGTTTGCTCAACGGAATACTCATTTCCTAGCAAATACAGCTATTCAAATCATCTCTCAGCCCTCGAAATAGCCAAAAACCCCTGATTCCGAAATTCGGACTTCTTTACACCGGTCAATGATACATGGGACGAGCCCAAGCTTGCCGAGACTAGCGGACAGCCCGATTCCACCTCAGCAAACGGTTCCGGCCAACGGCGACTAAAAAAAATACAAAACAACTGCATCCATATTCTTCCATACTCTGTTCGAAATGGGTAACAGCAACACCCGAGAGAGCCGGCCTCCCGGAGCCGGCGAGTCTCATGAGGGCCACCGCTCCAGCGATGGCCGCTCTCGCCACCGTTCCCGTACCGATACATCCTTTCTTGGCATCAGCACATCAAGTCAAAGAGATCGCCGTCAGAATGTGCCCTTCGAGCATAGAGAAACCAAGCAAGAACGGGAAGCAAGAAGGCTCGAGAGGGAGCGTGCGACCCGCCTCAAGGACCGAGAACGGAGCCTTCAAGAGGAACATGTCGATGGCGGCTATCTGGTGACTCTAGGCACATATATGGGGACTGAGGACTTCAATAAGCCAGTGGTACGGCAATTGCAGGTATGCCATGCCCGGGTACTTCACATCATGACTCTTGCGGAAAACTAACCTGATCGGACAGATTGAGAGAAGACTCGCGCCCTTTTGGCGTGGCCTTAATGAGTGGTCCGACAATTGGGCAGAGCACCAGCTGGTGGCCGCCGCCAGAGGTCTCCCCGTACCAGCAGCGGATGAGCCCCCTCCACCAGAACTCATCGCACAGCCGCACAATCGAAATCCAAGCCAGAGCAATTTGCAGAATCTCACTGTCCCAATGGGCGAACGTAGTATGTCGACGGCCTCGGACCATAGCGGATCTGGCACGACATCGGGATTAGCCTCCCCAGGGACCCCGACTCGGAGCACTCTAAAGCCGAGGGCGAAGGCTCTAGCCATGGCTTTGACTGGGCATTCAAGAAACGCCTCTTCCGCTGAACTACAACCTGCAGAAACCGCGCTTCCTCAGGATCCCTTTGTTAACGGCCAGCTCCTCGAGGTTTATCTATACAAGGACGCAACGGAGTGCCCCATTTGCTTCCTATCATACCCCCCCTACCTGAACAGCACGCGTTGCTGCGACCAGGCGATTTGCAGCGAATGCTTTGTTCAAATCAAGCGCGCCGACCCCCACCTCCCAGAGCATCACCCGGATGGACAAGAGCGAGACTCTCATCAAGAAGTCAATCCCGAAAATCTATCTGAGATGCTTACATCAGTGCCGTCCGCTTGCCCCTACTGCCAACAGCCCGACTTCGGCGTGACCTACGACCCACCCCCCTTTCGCCGTGGGCTAGTCTATTCAACCTCGTCTATGAATCTCGCCTCATCCTCTTCAAGGTCTCCTATGTCTTCTCAAAGCTCACTGCATCCCCCACCTAATCCAAGTTCGGTGCCTCAGACTGGTCGCAGGAGAGGGCATAGTTTGTCCGCTAATGCACCAAATGTTATCACCACTGATCGGATTCGGCCAGACTGGTCTTCCAAACTCGCGACCGCTCGTGCACACCAGGCCCGTCGGGCAGCAGCGGCTACGGCTCTACACACGGCCGCATTTCTGGTAGGAGGCAGTGACCAACGGTCGATGCTACGCACTGGACGCTTTAACCGTCGCCAAACTGGCTCCGGCTCTGGCTCCGGCACTCCTGGGACTGGATCTATGGCCGCAGACGGAACGGAAGCCTCTGAATCATCTGACCGGACTCAGATTCCCTCGGATGTAGAGGGGAATAGGCGCTTTAGAATGGACGAACTGGAAGATATGATGTTCATGGAAGCCGTTCGACTTTCGCTTGCCGCAGAAGAAGATCGTAAGAAAAAGGAAGCCAAGGCCATGCGCAAGGAAGCGAAGAAAAAAGAACAAGCGGAAAAGAAGGCAGCCAAGAAGGCGGCAAAGGATCCTTATGGGGGAAGTGTCAGCGGAGCGAGTGGTAGCAGCCTTTCACTTTCACTTGGACTTGGCAGGAAGCGAGGCAATAGTAGCGCAAGTCAGCTGCGAATGGACGCGACAGTCCAAGGCGCTTCCCAAGTATCGAAAGGGGACACCACAGAGGCGTCGTCGCAAAACATTCACAACGGCAGCTCTGGAGACGGCCACGGAAAAGGCAAATCCGTTGATCGGGGTGAAACTGATGCCGCAGCAGAGGGAAGTTCATCGTCTGCGATCCCTATTCGGAGCGGCGGCTCGCACCTACGACAAATGAGCAATGCTTCCTCGCTAGGATCTTCGCTTGCGGATTCTGCGCCGGGTAGTTTTTCGAGCCCAGGATTTCTGCACCTGGAAGGCATCGGTCAGAGTCGTGGGGAGAGACGCGAAGGGGAAGAATCTGAGCCCCTATTTAACTTCCGGAGTCTGGCGGAGCTTGTAGGTGTCAATATCGACCAAGGCACTGCACTTGAAGAGGAAAATGAGGGTACAGCACGAAAGGGCCCTGGCGATGCCACGCAAGAGACGCAGGCACGTCCCCTGTCCCAAGTCAGGGAAGAGGACGAGCTTGCTCCGGGGCATGACGAAAAAGAGGCTGCCTCGCAGGCGCAAATCGAAGAAGCGGAAAAATCACAGGCTCAGCGCAGCCTATATACGGAAGAGACTTTGATATCGCGTCAAGACGCGGATCGAGGCAAGGATGCCAAGTCCCCTCACATGGTGGAGTTTATGGAGGAAGCGGTGACTACAAAACAGCAGAAATGAGTGAACAAGTTGGAGAAAGCGGCTCAAGCATAGAATTTTCTTGCAAATGGGTAGTTGCATCTGAGAGGGAGACACTTCGTGCTTCTTAGAGTGAGGAGCTTGTGGCTCCGACTTTTAGCAACAGCGTGGGCATTTGGGAAGTACAGCGAACTCGCGGACGAATAATTGTAAATATAAAGATTGAATTATAATTGCCTCTGCCTAGCGATTTCTATTTCTATTTGCTTGTGGCAGCTGCCTGGCTGGTATGTATGTCGCATAATGCTTGGTTGGTTGGGTTGCCTTTGCCCAACGCTAACTCTTTTTGATTTCCGCCTTGAACTTTTCCGTCCACTCTGAAAACTCGTCCTCGCCACCATCCCACGCGACCCGGAGCAGTTCCCCCGCGGCACACGCCTTGACGAAGCAGTCCTCGGCGACGCGGTCAATCGGCGTGGGCTCCATGTCGTAAAAGGCCGAGGCGAGGTCGCCAAAGGCGTCGGGGAGCGCTCCGAGCACCTGCGCGGCCTCATCGAGTCGCTGCGGCAGGTTGCTGGTGGAGGAGGGCGGTAAGGGAGGGAGTTTGCGCAGACGACGCTTGCTGATGGCTTGGTAGAGCAGCACGACGAGGCGGACGCGGCGGAGGGTGGACTCGAGACGCGGGCGGATGCTGTGGGGATCGTCAAGGGGAATGGCTTGGCCGGCGCTCATGAAATCGTCGAGCATGGCTTGGGTGGAGGAGGCGGTGTCTTGTATATCGGTGTTGGGTTCGTGGGCTTTGTCGTCATTGTCGTCATCATCATCATCGTTGTCGTCGTTGTCGTTGTCGTCGTCGTCGCCGTCGGGTTCTTCGTCGCCCCAGTCCCTGAGCTCCTCCGACACATCTTTCAGGGTATCTTGCCACTCCTCCAGACTCTTGACAAAATAACCACCAATTCCGCCACCGACAAGCGCCACGACATCGTCACATGCCGCCCACAGTATCCCCGTCGCCGGCAAGCTGCTCTTGTCCCCCGCGCCTCCGGCAACACCGTGTTGCGGAATCTTGCCGACAAGTTCGACCAGAGAGAGCAGCACGCGCCGCGCGCGCCACGCGAGCTCTTTGCGGAAAAACGCCGTATACCGCGCCGCGTCGCAGGCTTCGGCGGCCGAGGCGAGGCCCAGCAGGGGCCCGCCGGCGAGCAGCTGCTGCAGCACGTCGGCGACGGCCGAGGGCGTAAAGGGCTCGTTGAGGAGGAGAAGGGAGAGCTTGGTGGCGTGGGCGCGGACGAGGGTGGCGGCGTCGCGGGCGAGGTCGAGCGGGACGATGTTGAGGTCGGTGGAGGGGCCTACGGCGCTGGAGGGGTCCTTGTAGATGGTGTCGAGTGAGGCGGCGAGTTGGTTGCACAGGGCGAGCGTGGACGCGGTGCTGGTTTGCAGGCGTTTGGCAGCGCCTGGCTTGGAGGACGAGGAGGAAGCCATGCTTGGGTTGGTCAGACCGGGTGGGTGACGGGTCTTCTGGGACTGTTGGAGAGTCGAGGGCGCATGGTGCTGTTTGTTGGGGGTGGTGAGGCTCCTGCAATTTTTTGGTGGGATGGAGGGGCACTTACCAGCCGGTTGACCTTTTATTGCCGCCGTCCACTGAAGACGGCCTCGGTGCCGAACATTTTCCGCCCCGGAGGTTTAGTACCTGGTAGGGGTCCTGAGACGGTGGTGCAGCACGGCTGCTGTGGAGTGATCTGAAATGGGGTACAGTGGCCTCGAGCTATGTATGTGCGTACATATGCCAGCTTGCAGCTTGCTTCAGCGCTCCTGATTCCACGTCTCACGATCTGTCCATCCCCTCGCCGCCCGCCACATTTTTGGCTGCCGCCCAATTCGCTCGCGCACCGGAGACGACGTGACGGAAACGATGCAGAAACTACAGAAATTCGCCGTCCTCACGGCAATGGGTGTCCTGTCCGTCGCCGCTGCTGGCAGCGTCCCCCGCGGCGTCGGCCCAGAGTGTATGCCAACCAGCCCGGACACGATGATGATTTTCTTCTCTTGTGCTGACAAGTCATGGTCTAGTTGCCTCGCATTACCAATCCAAAGACAGCTTCCGCTGCATTACCAACCCCGACGTCGAAATCAGCGCCAGCCGCGTCAACGACAATACCTGCGACTGCCCCGATGGGAGTGACGAACCTGGCACCGCCGCCTGCGCACACATCGACCCTCTCTCCCCCCAGCAGCCCTTACCCGGCAGCAGCTCCGGGACGACGAACGCCACACACGCGCTCCCCGGCTTCTGGTGCGCTAACAAGGGCCACGTGGGGACATATGTGCCGTTCCTCTACGTCAACGACGGCATCTGTGACTACGACCTGTGCTGCGACGGGACCGAAGAGTACGCGTCTGTGGGCGGCACGACGTGCGAGAACCGCTGCGCCGCGATTGGCAAGGAGCACCGCCGGCTCGCGGAGGAAAAGGACCGCAAAATGAGGGACGCGCAGACGCAGCGGGCCAAGATGATTGCCGACTCGGCCGCGCTGCGCATGCAGACGGAGAGCCGCATTGTTGAGCTGGAGAATGCCATTCGTGTGGCATCGGCGGAAAAGGTCGCGCTGGATGCGAAATACAAGGAGCTTCAGAAAAAGGATCGTAACAGGGTTGTCAAGGCGGGTAGTGGTGGTGGCAAGCTGGGCGTCTTGCTTGGACAGGCCAAGACCCGTGTCAACGAGTTGCGCGAGGTCCTAAAAAACGTCTCGGACGAGCGGGATCAGCTGCGCGACAAGGTTAATGAGCTGGACACGGTCCTCCGCAAGCTCAAGGAGGAGTACAACCCCAACTTCAACGACGAGGGCGTCAAGGCGGCGGTCAAGTCGTTTGAAGACTTTGCCGCGCGTGAAGCCGAGCAGCCCGACACAGGCGACGAGGATGTCTCGAGCGTCCTGGCCGAAGACGGCGAGCACAGCGGCATCAACTGGGCCGAATTTGAGTCTTCCGACGACGATTCTGACATTAGTAAGAACCGCCGCACTGACTTGTGATGTCGTACTCTGCTAACTACTTTTTAGTTTACACTTTGGATGCCTACCTTCCCGCCTTCCTTCGCGACTTTATTCAGAACCAAAAAGCTGCCCTCCGCGACTGGCTCGTCGAGAATGGGCTGCTGGCCGAAAAGCAAAACTCGGCTTCGGAGTCGCAGGCCACGCGGGAAGCGCGGGAAGCCAAGGAGAATGCCGAGCGCGATCTGCAAAAGAAGGAGCAAGATGTCGAGAACGAAAAGACGGACTTGGCCAAGGACTACGGCCCGTCCAGCATTTTCCGCGCGCTCAAGGGCCAGTGCATTGACATTGACGCGGGCGAGTACACGTATGAGCTGTGCTGGCTGGACAAGACGAGCCAAAAGTCGAAAAAGGGCCACGGCAACACCAACATGGGCAACTTCCAGCGCATCGACTACGAGACGGCCGATGACGAGGAGCGCCTGGACGGCAAGAGCCTGGGCAAGGGCGCGCGAATGGTGCTCCGCTACGAGGACGGACAGGCCTGCTGGAACGGACCGAACCGCAAGACGGACGTCTGGCTGGGCTGCTCGGACAAGGAGGAGGTGTGGCGCGTGACGGAGGCGGAGAAGTGCGTTTACAAGATGGAGGTGGGCACGCCGGCGGCGTGTGATGAGCAGGTAGAGGGGAAAGCGCATGTCAAGGATGAATTGTAATTGTATTCTGGGAATATAGAGCCGCTAGATAGTCTGGCTGATATAGAGTGCCTCAGTGCATGAAGCTTGTGTAAATTGATGGATGTGTACCATGGGGGTATATGCATCGTCTTACATTGAGATGAAATAAAGAACATCGCAATTTACAGAATTTCAATTTAAATGTTATATGCTGCGGCTGTTGGATGGAGTGTATTGATGCAGAACAGAACGTGGTCCTTTCCATACAGTGCGCGCCACACTCCGCACGCTGCGGCCACCATCGGAAACATGTCCACCATGAATGTCGCTTCAAACGAAAGAAGCCAATCCAGCGGCACCGGTTCTGTAAACCTGCGACCTATCATCAACCGATTTTCCCCTAGTACTCTTACGTCCCAAAACCCATGGCCGTCTCGGCGCAGCCAGCCGGCACCCGACGGCTCTACCGGATCTGCCTGCAGCTGGCGCTGGGCTCGTCGCTCTGGGGCTACAACATTGGCATCCTGGCGTCCATCCTGGTGCACCGCGGCTGGCGGCACGCGCTGCACGACCCGGCCCCGGCGCAAAAGGGCGCCGTCACGGGCGCTTACTACGCCGGCACGCTGCTCTCGTACCTGCTGCTTGCGCACCCGCTGG